TGCCATGTTTGGATATATTTGGGTCATTAGTGTAATTAATGACATTTATTATCGGAATATGAAATTGAGTAAAAATAATGAAATTGGCTCATTATGAGGTAGAGTGGTGGAGTTGGATTCATTAATCATTCACCTTTGAAAATGTTGATAAATTATCTGTTGATATAATTATTGTCTATTTAGAAATAATTGCTTTGGGCTATCGGTGGAGGATAGTCTTGATTGTTGTAGACATTGCATGATGATTAGACAAATTAAAACTAATCGGTTGTATGTCATTGATTATGATGAGTGGAATAATACATCAAATTTGTGTATTGATTGAACATGTATATGATAGATGCTTATATGCACTGTGTTGTGTGAGAGGAGATAGGGGATGTACTCCATAGTTTAGGGGAAGATAGAGGATGGACTCCTAAACCGGATATTATTTGGGAGGAGATAGAGGATGTACTCCATTGATACAGCAAATATGTGTATTTATTGAAGTATTGATACAACGAATATGTGTATCTATTGTGAAGTGTGGAAGTGTTTTATGTAATGTTGATACAGTAAATATGTGCATCTATTATGATGTATAGAAATATTGTTGATATGAGATGTAATCTCACTTAAATTATCTGGCCAGGTTCTAAGCCATGGTTATGAATTGAGAATTGGATAAGTATAGGAAAGAGAAATGAAACATGGACATATGTGTCATGTAATTGAAATGAATTATGAATTGATTTATATGAGTTAAACATTTATCAAATGCTAATGTTTTAGTTATTGCTCATATTATGTTTAGCATACCTCTACTGGCGTTGGCTCACCCTATATGGGATATCATTTTCAGGTGCAGGTGCTATACCACCTCCAAGGACGTTGCTTGGGAGGCTTGAGGCTGTTAGACCATTTTTTTTGTTGTTTTTGTTGTATTACATGTACATCAAGCCAAGGGCTTACTTTGTGTAGAGTTAGTACTCTCTTTTTGTAACCAAGTGTTGACTTGCAAAGTTGTAAGCCTATAGGGCATTTACTTTTATTGTCAACATATAATACCTTTTGTAAGAATACTCTGATAATTGTAATATGAAATCTCTTCTATTTATCATGAATGTATGTTATGATGGGTTTATTTTTGAAGGCGTTACAGAAAAATTTTGGCATATTATAAGAATATTATGATGTCTACGTGTACTCCAAAGCTATGTATTCCACATGCAAAATAAATTGTAGTTTTCATTAATTAAAATTTTTGTTTTCTTCACACATTTTAATAATGTGGGAACAAAATTGGACTTCTAAATAGGTAATGCTTTGTCTTTTAACTATCTATCTATCTATATATTAAGAAAAATGATTTTTTTTTTTTTTTAATATCTTCTGTAAAAATTATATTTAGGCCAAGTTTGGGTAGACTAAATAAGTCTACACTTTTTATCTTTTTATTTTTTTTGGGTCACATCAATCAATATCTCCTCTCTACTTTTCTACATATCTTTTTATAAAAAGTCAAAAAATACACTTATTTAGAACATCCCAAACAATTCCTTATTTCGCTCTTCCTAAACAACCTCTATATGTCAATATTTTATCTTGCTTGCCATTTTAAGGTTGTTTGGCAACCTATTTATTTATGGTTGTTTTGCAAAGTCTCAATTTTAAATTATTTATTTATTTATTTTGTCTATTATAAAAATATATACAAAAAATAAAGACTCTAAATAAATCATAAAACTAATAAATTGATTTTTTTACACCTTTTTTTTATTTTTTTGAATCATATTATCTTTCTATTTTTTATACATTTTTTTTTTTGTAAAAAATTAAAAATTATTAAAATAGTATATTCTCAAACTATAAGATCGATTATAAAGTAGGGTCAAATTAGAGTTAATTTTAGTGGTAAATGAGATCACGAAAGGTCAATTATATTTTCAAAAAACAATCTCATTTTTTGTATCCAAATTTACTCATAATGGAGGTTCGAATTTTATAAACAACAATGATTCATCCCCCATTTTTCTCCCACCCCCTTTGACCCCCTCTCTCTCTCATTGGTTATATTTTCTTTTTCTTTTTCTTTTTTTTCCTACTTCTCCAATCACCACCCGCCACGTGGCAAAGGGGGGTGAGGGGGTGACCCCCAAAAAGGGGTCCCAAGCATTATTCTTTTACAAATTGACCTATATGAGTTATAAAATGCTAGAAGACAAGATCCAGATGGTGGATGGGGAGAATTTTTTAAAAAATAATACTAATAAAATCCACATTTTTATAGATATTAAAAAAAAAAAAATTGATTCATCCATTAAATTTAATTTCACTTGAATTGCCTAAATTACATAAGTCTAGGGGTGTAATTTTGGCCCTTGACCCACGGGCGGCCCGAAACCCGCCCGCGGCTCGAGGTGGGCTCGGCCTGTTTAGGCCCGGGCCCAAGCCCAATCCGAGGCTTTGGGCCAGGGCCTGGGCCATCGTTTTGAAGCCCGACCCAATCTACGGGGGCTGACCTGCTTGGCCCGGCCCATTGGCCTACTTAAGGCCTGCCCAAAAGCCCGGCCCCACCCAAGGCCCAGTGTTTTTTTTAATGAAAAATAATAAAATTTTGGTGGGGAAAAAAAAATTTATTTAGGCCCGCCCAAGCCCGAGTCTAGGTCCCGGCTCGTTGGCCTGACCAAAGCCCAAATATCCCTGGGCTTGGGCTTGGGCATGTGCCTAATTTTTTGGCTCGTGGCCCGGCCAGACCCGATTTTTTAACGGGAGCCCGCAAGGCCCGACATGGGCCCGGCCCGGCCAGAGCACAAATGGGCCCGGCCAGTCCAGAATTACACCCCTACATAAGTTAAACGATTGCTCAAACGATCGACATCACTCTCACCAAGTGCGATTGTCACTCTTGTCAACCGGTATCTGCTCGAATAACTGCTTAGACAACCAATATGCACAAATTCAAACGAGTTCAAATTCAGTAGATGTAACAATGCACAAAAAATAATACTAATAAAAGCCACACTTTTATAGACCCATTAGGAAAAGGGAAAATCACTTGATAGTGTGGGACATAAGAAAAAAAATTACACAAACATAAAAATGATGCAACTCATCTTGTGATTAGATGCAACTCAAATTCTGTGCGGATGCAACTCTGAATTGCACCTCTCCAGATTTGTGTAATTTTTTTTACTTCTGAGTAATTCCCCCTTAAGAAAAAAACCTTCAATCTCTCTCTATGAATCAGTTTGTAGATATGGAGATTGTTTTATATTTTATTAAAATCTTCCTAGTTTTTTTTTCTATAATTTTTTTTTAACTCTAAAAAAGAGAATTGATTGGGGCATTTTTTATTGGAAAATGTTAGGAATCTTAAATATTTTATCAATATTTTTATCAAATATCTTACATGTGAGACATTTGATAAAAATATTAGTAAAACATTTGGAGTCTGAATCTATACTCACTACAACATTTTCTTAGTTTAGTGACATTTGAAAGTGCCACAAAACTAATTTTCTAATGACATTTTTTGGTCTTGTGGCATTTTGAACAAGTGTCACTTCTATCGGTGCCACGGTAGATACTTGCAAGTGCCACTGCACCATCATGGCTGAAAACTTTCAATGACATTTTAATGTCATGGTAGATATTATTTGTGGCACTATCAAGCGCCATTAAAAAAAGAGTTAGTGACACTTGTAAGTGTCATTACACCATCAAGACTAAAACCTTTCAGTGACACTTTAATGTCATGGTAGACACTATTCGTGATGCTATCAAGTGCCATTCGTGACAATAATTCGTTGTAGAACAATTTGATCCGCTCTTACGGAGACTCGAATCGCCAACCTCCCGCACCATAAACCTTATATACCACACTCTTCCCACTACACCTCTATAGCACCACATGATTATATATGCAACATATATTATTTATATAGTACATACATCCATATTAATATAAAAGTATATGTATAAACATAATTATTTTATTGAACATAATTTATGTAAAATAAACTATTGATTTCAATGATATGAAGATATGTAATAGATATGAGATAAAATATGATAAATAATTTGTGCTACTCATTCATCATTGTTTAAATATATAATAGATATGTGAACCCTGATAACTACTGAACATTATTAATTAACCAATATTATATATAGTTCTAATATTATGAAATTGTGCTCCTCATTTATCTTCGTTTTAATACATGTCAGATAGCGTCGATCCTAATATTACTTATATGTGGTTGGGACAACTATCTTTTTATCCGGTTTATAAATCTTTTTTATTATAATATAACGCCAATGACTGTGGACATAAATTTTACTTTTGGAATAAATCTCATATCTTTTTGTGTGCATCTAATTTTTGCATTAACAATACAACTTTCACATTGTTAAAACTCACAATTGTTTAAAAAAATATTTAATAATCAATCCTAGTTATGGTAAGGTATTGCAAAGCTCCAACTAGGCTGTGATAGAGAGATGGTTGAGAAAAGGGGATAAGTATCTCCGAAGGAGGTGAAGAATTAGTAGCAATGGGAGAAGAGTAAGATTCACAGTTGGACATTCTTGCTTTAGCAAAAATTTCTAAAGCATACTTATGTTGAGACAGAAACAAGAAATATTTCATAACTCTTTCATGGAGAAAACAGAGCACATATGCTTAATAAGAGTTGCAATTTGAGCTAAGTCATTGCAAAAAATGAGAATGTCATCGATATAGACTAGCAATAATGTGATAGATGAAGCAGTATGATGAATAAACAAGGAAAAATCACAGTGGTTATTTGTAAAACTAGAGGAGAGAATGAATAAGGAAAAGGTTGAATACCAGGCCCTTGGAGCCTATTTAAGACCATACAGGGCTTTTGCAACTTGCACTTATGAGAAAGATGAACACAACCTTCAAAACATTGAGGGTGAACCATGTATAGCTCTTCTTCAAAAACACCACGAAAAAAGGCATTGGAAATTTCCAATTATTTGATTTGCCAATTTTAATGAAGAGCAAGACTAAGAAACACTCTAATGATGGGATGCTTAGCCACTGGGTTGAATGTTTCATGATAATCAATGTCTTCCTTTTCAAAATAACCCTTAGCAACAAGACAAGCCTTATGATGAGTACTTGAACCATCAGAATTCTTCTTAAGACGAAACACCCACTTACAACCAATGGCTTGCTTATCAGATAGAAGAGGAACTAAAATCCAAGTCTTTTGCTTTTGTAAAGCTTGATATTCCTCATTCATGGCTGCAGACCAAGCTGGAGTTTTAATATCCTCATAGAAGGAATTGGATTCCACCAGAGCAAGATCAAGAGAAGAAGAAGAAGAATGAAAAGGAGTATGAGCAGCCATAAGAGACTGCATTTAAATCTAGTGATCATAGGATGATTATTGCAGTTAAAGCATAGGGAAAATAAAAAGAATTGAGATCAATAACTAGAGATTCAAAGGGAATTCCAAAATTTGAGAAGAATTGACTAGTAAAATATATGGTAATGGGACTAGAGATGAAATAGGAGATAGAATAGTAGAAAGGGCTATAGTAGGAGCTACAGTAGTAGGCCTAGAGGAGTGGAAACGATTGGAACAGGTGAAACAAGTGAATTAGGTGGAGAAGCTATAGGACTAGGACAAGAAGATTGACATATGAGGGCTTAGATGAAAAAAGAAGGATTTGACCAAAAGAATGAATGAAGCTAAGGAAGAGTAGGAGTAGGCAAGGGCAAAATAGAAGGTTGAGGAACTAAGGGAAACAAAGTTTCATAAAAAACAACATAGTGCGACAAATAGAGTTTACTTGT